GCGACTGTATGGTAGAAATTATTTTCTCTTTGATTCAATTTGGTCCCCAAGTTTATTTCATCCACCTTTAGGCTTTGCTTCCTTCTCCTTCTTCTTCTATCATTCCATGACATCACAATGACTTAGCTCAATTCCATGCCTGATTTGCCATTCGGGTTATCTTCTGAATAATTGCATTTTGATCCCTGAAATTTAATTTTCCTTTATTTTGGTCCTTTTTCAGTCGTTTTCGCATACATTTCATTTCATCAATCAATGTAGTCCTATAAGCACAATTTATATCGAGTTAAGTCATATTCAACATATTTATTAATAATAATCCATGTTTGTGACATATAGAGCTTGTTCGGTAGAAATTAAAATCCAATTAAAATTGAAAATATAGCCGTTATTGGGTCTCACTCGTCTAATAAAAGTCAAACAATAACGGCTAGTTTTTCAATTTTAATCTCTACCAAACAAGCTCATAATAAATGTGTAAAAACGCACTTATCAACTCCCCCAAACTATTGTAAGAGCGAGTGAGGATTTATATGAAGGTGAGAAAACTAATTTCTTCCGGTTCATCCTTAGAATTTGAAATAGAGATTTGTGTTGTAGAAAACTGTATTCTTGAAATTTAAGTTGTGTGCATATGATATTCCCTACTCAAGTAAGGAATGTACCATGTCAAGCTAATTGCCTTTTAGACTAGACTGGTATTTCCAAGCTATTAAACCATGTAGTTATTTCTCTACTTGAGCATTTTTAACCCCTTTAAGTCTCTTTGTGTGTGATATTATATATAGTCAACTCCATGACTTCAGCGTTGATCTCTTTCGCTATGTTTGGTAATTTTTGAAGTACCACGACAATTTTAAGTACAATAAACCTAATCTAAATATTTTTTAAATCGAGTCAAAATGCTTACTCATTTAAATTTAAGTAAAACTCTAATAATCAGTAGATATTCACTAATAAAACAAAAACAGGCATTTTAGCTATTTTATATATATATATATATACAAGAGAGAACAGATAGACAAATCTATACAAAGCACACAAGAAGAAAACCTACACTCCCTCCCTCTCCCTCTCTCACTCACACACAATTCTCCGCGTCATTATTCCGGCATATTCTCCGGCGAATTCGTAAAACCAGTAAAACAATGAAAATGATTAGAGATGAATGAGCTACCGGTGATCACATATTCACCATGTCAATCTCCTACTCCGACTGCCTCTCCGACCTTCTCTGCGGTGAGGACTCCAATAGTATCTTCGGAGAAGTTTCGAAAGAATGCTCATCGGACCTGGATTCTCAGTCGCCGGACATCGAAGAATCCATCGCCAGTCTCATTGAAGACGAGCGAGATTTCGTCGAAGACTTTCATTCAACTACTCAATACCTCGATCCATCTACTAGAGCAGAATATGTTGCATGGATTATCAAGGTATTTCTGTTATTTTTCTGCATTGAACAAGTTGCTCACTACGTTTAACGATTCGATTTTAAAAATTAATATCACCGACAACGATTTTAATACATAGAAATATCAATGTTTCTCCATGGTACAATCGCAGTGGCGCAATTTAGCACGGCTAAAGGTGCTAGTATGCGCCGAGGTCTAAATCAACGTTTCTATCATGGTCAGATAGAATCGTGAAACGGTTTATTCGGCGCACTTTGTACTGGAGAGAGAGAGAGAGAGAGAGAGAGAGAAGAGTATTGAAATTTTGTTTTGCGTGTGCAGGTACAAAAATACCATGCCTTCCAGCCGTTAACGGCGTATCTCTCCGTCAACTACTTTGATCGTTTCCTCCACTCTCATCGATTGCCGGTAAAACTTCCGTTACTATCGAATCCTCTCTTTTTCATGATTATGATTATGATTATTCTTAATTAATTATATTTACATTGACTTTTCATAGGCCACTGGAAAGGACTTCACTATAAAAATCTAGTCTCTAGATTACTTGTATCCTAGCAAGTACCGTGAAAATGTAAAGCTGTCTACATTAATTTAATCTAGCAAGATTAATTAATTAATCATTTTATTATGCGCTTGTTTTGTTACAAAGCATAAACTTTATTATTTATGCCTTTCTTTTTTGATTTTGGGTAGGTACATGTTATTGTCTACCCTTTTAAATAGACATTATAAAATGTAATCTGTTGGTACTATGGAGAAAAAAGTCACACAAATAATGTAAATGTAATAAAAGGTGTTCCCTTATACAAAAGGTAAGAGGCTTGAGCCTCGTTTCCATTATCTAGCTTTACTTAATTAGTTATTAAACTAAAATATGGTTATGGGGAAATAAATTATTGAGATAATAAAATTAACAATTTTCATAATGCTATACGGTTCTACAAATAATTATGTACGTGAACGATGACGATAAGATTCCCATTTGATTTTAAGCATGCTATTGTAATATGTAAGAGTGTCCATTTGTCTCCTTTCACTCTGCTAACAACCTAGAAATGCAAAACCCAGTTCAATTATTTACCTAATCATTATTAATGCAGTTTATTACACTGTCCAGTTTGATTTAACCTGCGTGCCAAATACGCACTTTGGAATATTTGCAGAAAATGAATGGATGGCCATTGCAACTGTTGTCCGTTGCATGCTTGTCATTAGCTGCTAAAATGGAGGAACTTCTAGTTCCTCCTCTATTGAATCTTCAGGTAATTTTCTCATGTAATGCAGATTTCAAGAAAAAACTTAATTATTTGAAATCATCATCATTGAGCAAATTTTCCTTTATTAGGTTGAAGGAGCAAAATTTATTTTTGAACCAAGAAATATCCAAAGAATGGAGCTGCTTGTGCTGCGTGTATTAGATTGGAGGCTAAGAACCATTTCTCCATTTAACTATCTCAATTTTTTCGCAAACAAGATTGACGCCGCTGGAACTCATACTGCGTTCATTACATCAAGGGCCATTGAGATTATTCTGTCAAATATTCAAGGTATCTTGAAGTTCCCACTTTTTTTTCACTCTGACCTATATCATATATATGTAATATTAAAGGTAGAGATTAATGAAGATTTTGACATAAATTTCTTCTTGTTTATGGGAACAGAGGCCAGCTTCCTTGATTACAGACCATCATGCATAGCTGCTGCAACAATACTTTGTGCAGCAAATGATCTGCCAAATTTCTCTTTTATAACTGCTCAACATGCTGACTCATGGTGTGGTGGACTTCGTATAGTAAGAAATTAATAAAATCTCTCTCTTTGTTGTGCATATGTTTAACAAAGTGCATTAACCGACCAATTTCTTTGGCAGGACAAGATCGACGGTTGCTATCGATTGATGAGGCAGATTGTTATGAATAATAGGCCAAGGAAACCACCAAAAGTGCTATCCCATCTTCGGGTCATGCCTCGGACAAGTATGTCAAGTGACTCATCATTCTCATCCTCCTCATCTTCATTTTCTTATAAAAGGAGAAAATTAAATAATGGCTTGTGGATGGATGATAAAGGAAGCTCTGATTAAAACAGGATGGTGGTCCAAGTTTGGGTAAAGTAAAATCCTCAATATTTTTTTGGAGGGTTGCGAGGTAAAATTGACATGAATTATACAGAGAAGTAATAGACATATATTATCTATGTACAAGAAGAGTTTGGACAGTTTGCTAGATTTCCTTATATAACTTTTTTAAGTGGGCATTGCCATTCATTCATGAAGGCTATGCAGATTCCTAAGGGAAGGGATTTGGTACATATAATTTTGGTGAAATAAGAGATTGCTTATTATTAGAGTGATGGAGTACACTAATGAAGTGAGGAGTGATTGAATTCAAGGGCAGCATTGATGATT